ACGCTTTCGGTTTCAACATTACACAATTTCATTCTTATGACTTCATCCGCATATACTTATAAAAAGTCTATAATTTACATTTGTCAAAATCTCAATTGCAAATGTTAAAATTACCGTTACCATAATAACCTTGCTGTAATTGCTGACATCCTACTCCACAAAGTAGTGTTTGTTTACGCTTTATTATATTAGTATAGAAGTATAGACGTGCATAATTTATGAAATTTCCTATCTTGTTCCCTACGGAGATACAGAACAGTAATAGTGGAAGTTTTTAATCATGTTGGCTGCTCAGAACTTCATATGATGTGGCAGGGACTATATGCAAGCAAGGGTACTGCGCCCACGCAGATGACTAAACCACCAAGAAAATTGAAATAGAAAATGCTTTTATCATTATCATTTCTTTAGCAAGGTTCACATTTTAAAATTCTGTAAGAAAAAATGTTTAGGAAATTCTAATTTACACTATGGTACTTTTTTTTAACAAACTTGTGATCCATCTTAAAATATTTTTTTTTTTATAAAATACGGAAAAGGGACTAAAATTAGGCCTCCGGCATCACACTGATCAGACGAAACGGGGAATTATTTCCACTTCACGCCTGTTTTCTGTGTGGTCGTGGTATTACACCGGGCGAGCCGGCCTATTCGTGCTAAGATGTTAAAGCGGGCTCTACCACTGTTTACATATATATGTTACTTTTATTTGACACTTAAACATGGAAATAACATAAACTAATCAAACTTACCTCAGTAAATCCAACAATAGGGACTGGAATATAGTTCTCGGGGTCGGGATTATCAGCTTGCGCCTGCTTCCATAGTCGTAAGTCCATACCTTAAAATAGAAATATAGTAATGAAAACAAAAACAACCAATTAAGGTCCTTAGTGTATACACACCCTTAGTGACTAAATACCAACCTTCAGTATGACAATAAAACAATACCAAAATGTGTTGAGACTATAAATATAATTGAAGTTTCTGTATGTATGTAATTGCGTTGCTTTTAATAAGAACTATTTTCTAAATATTTATCTGCGTGACTGCAAGTTCGCGTTTGTTTAAGTAATCTTATAGATTTTATTTTTTCAATTCCGCGGTGACGAATTCGCGGACGATCGCTAGTATATAATCTTAGCAATATTACTAATCCCAAAGATTGGATAGATGGATCATACAGTAACCACTTTTTTTGTTTACAAAATTAATTAAAAACCGCACGCTATTTGCGGCTTTCTTTTATTGGTTTCAGTATTAATACTTATGCAAATAAATGCGTTTGTTGTCAGGAGAATTTATTGCAGAATAAAATTGTTGTTTACAGTAATTAAATTGGACTAATAGTTTAGAAGATATCGCGAACAAATAACAAGGGTAACTGAAAAATCAGCTTACAAGCTACCAGGCTTAGAAATTTGGAATCTTGCATTAGTACATTGCTGTTATTACGTAGATTACGTTATTAAGTTAATACTAGGTGATAGGTTGAAAAAAGGGGAGAAAAGTTTTGAACTTTAAAACTCCACACAGGAGAAGTCGTGGACAACAGTTAGTATAATATATGTGTGTGTTGAATTAAGTATGCATACCAGGTGGTGGAGTCTGCAGGTACTGTTCCAGCATGAGGGGCGTGGGCTTGGTGGCGGGGGTGACGGCGCCGCAGCCCGATGACGTCAGCGAGGAGCGCGCGTTTCCACTGTTGAGGAAGGCCGACAGCTCGGACGCGGATATGTGCCCGTTGCCCGCGTTCTTGTCCACTACGTATATCACTACCTATAATAAACAATTTACTAATATAAATACGATAAATTTGATGAATGTTTGTCCGATTGTATCTCCTAAACAGAATCTCGATGAAATTTGTCATAAATGTAGAACAAAATCTGAAATAACATAGTTTTTGGCTACTGTTTTTCCACTCGGACGTAGTCGCGAGCGAAAGCTAGTTAAAAAACATTTTGTACAGTTTAACTTAGAGTTGTAACAGAGGCCATTTTAACGATAGCGGATGCGGAGTTATCATTTCTTGCGGATATTCCGCACTTGCGGATGCGGAAGCTGAGTTCCGTTACAACCCTAGTTTAAATTATAACTCTTATGCAATCTACTTTAAATAACAAATAAGTAAACATAATTTCAATAAATTATAAATTAACTTAAATAAAATACATTACGCAATTGACTTGATTTAATACAGTAAATGCAAAATGTGATTCAAATTTAAATAGAAACGAAAAATAAAAAGATTTATTTCCCAATTTGAAGATGAAGTACGAAATAAATCTATTCCTTTGATTTGGCACATATATAAAAAGAGTAGTCCTCTGCTCCACGTGCCAACTCACTAAATATATTTTATTATTACCTGAGTTTTGTTCTCCGAGACTGTATTTATAGATTCAACATTGACAACTAAGTTCGGTTTGTTTCCAAGTATATTGGATATCATTGTTATAAAAGCTTGCTGATTATTCCTAAAAAAGAAACATAGAAATTATGATTTCTCAAATAAATATTTGATTAACTTTTCAAAATCAAGAGCAAAACTTTATAAAAAAAAATATATTACTTAACACTTTAATTACAATTGCAATTTGGTACATTTGGACAATTAACTAAAGGGTATTTAAAAATTTACTTTTACAAATGTTTTAAAATATAGTAGAAGCTCGATAATTACAACCATGATAACTTAAAAACCTCTCTAACTTCAAAAATAACATGTTCCCTTCCCATCAGAGCCAAAAACCTCTACAACATAGACCCTTGATAACTTAAACCTCTATAACTTAAAATATTTTGTTTCCCTTGGACTTTAAGTTATAGAGGTTCTACTGTATACAAATTCTTCAGTAATAGAGTAACACTAGACACCATATGTTTACAATATTTGTTTATAATTTAAAATTAAAAATATTAAGGATTTTGGCGATATTTACTTGATTTCTTGATCAGATTTATTAAACAACATAGAGACATGGCCATCCTTGTCCTCTTTGCCTGCCAGTCTAGAATATCCAACAGCTTTAAACCGACAAAGTGGATTTTGTTCATTCAATTCCAATGCAGGTGCATTCTTGTTATAATACGCCTGACCTGTAATTCAAAGAAATAAAATATATACAAAACTAAAAAAACATACATAAATAGATCTGAAAACTTTAGCCACTAATCATAGTAATATTATAAATGCGAAAGCTTGGATGGATGTTTGTTAGAGTTTGTAAACTAAACGGCTGAATGGATTTTGATGAAATTTAGTGTTAGGTGTCGAGGTTAGTCTGGAAGATCACATAGGCTGCTTAGTTTTTTTTTTATTTCACGCGAATGGAGTCGCAGGCGAAAGTTAGTGTGCTGTATAAATAAAGCAATATTAATAATTCTCAGTATTTAAAAGAATAAAAAAATAATTTAATTAGTGACAAGAATAAACTGTTAATACATTAACTTACATTAAGATATATGTTTTTGTATGTAAAGAATTAATATAAAAATTGAATTAGATATATTTAAAAATTCCCTTTACTTATATAAAGTTAAATTAACTCTTAGAAACATGAGTTATTTAAAAAAAATCAAATATTAGAACTGAGATTTGTAGTTCTTATTATATTGTATATGTCTATGGGGGTTTAAACTATTAACTAATGTTTCTCACTATTAAAAAAAAAACAATAAAAAAATTTAAAAAAAGACAAAACAAAAATATAAAAAATAAACTTACCAACACCCCATTGTGCCTGCAAGAGGTTCCACTTGGCTAGTACTTGATCTCTTTCATCTCCAAACACACTGCAGTTGAACACCGCAGCAATAAGCGCTTCATGTGCTGTTGCCGGCCCTTGCTGTTGTTGCTGCTGTTGTTGTTGTTGTTGTTGCTTAAATGATAATGTTTAATTTATGCAATTTGTTGTATTTAATTTTTATATACAGTTTTTTATTAAAGGTTTTGTAAATGTACAGGATGAACTAAATTAAACCTTTAATTTTTAACCACATTTAAGTCACAAATTGGTCTTTTTATTAGCGGATAGTTTGTAAGTTGAGCTGTTTAACCAAAATGCTAATGAAACTATAATCTAAAGGGACTCAAAGAGGTTTATTGAATTGTATTAGAATTACCTTACAACTATACATGTTTGGCATCACCAAAATTAACATTTCAGTTACTATATGTTTAAAAAATAAATAACTATAATAAGATTACCTGTGGTTGTCCAAATGTATTTGTAGCACCTAGTCCAGTACCAAAACCAAGAAATCCCGAAGTAGCTGGTTTAGTTCCAAAGGTAGAACCAAAGGTGGAACCTTGATTAGGTGTAGTGCCAAATGTGTTTGCACCCAAAGTGTTTGTACCAAATGTTGGGGCTGCACTTCCAAATGTTGATGTACCGGTACCAAAAGCTGTACCAGCACCGAATGTGTTGGTCCCAAAACTAGCACCAAAACCTAAAAATTATGATTACTAGCTGTTGCTCGCAACTTCGTCCGCATGAAATGAAATAATGTTATGTTAATCACAGACATACTTACCAGACATACATACCTTTTGAACGGTGAAAGAATTTTAAAACCAGACTAATAGTTTTTATGTGCATTGAATACATACAAAAATACAAATCTTTCCTCTTTGTAATATTAGTACAGATTAATTCAAACTATTATTTTAGTAATTTGTAAATGTTTCCAATGCACTTATAACTTTAAAATAATTGATTGTGCATGTTATTGTGCAACAATGATACAAATACAACAGAGAAAGTTGCTTTTTTTTTTTAATTGATTATAATCAAAACCTGTACAAGATAAAGAATACAATTAATGGGCCATGTGAAGGTGACTTAGAATTTTATACGAGATTACTATTAGATCTTATAATTCTTTTCAATACTTTTAATAAACCTCACCAGTAGTTGGTTTTGCAGCAGTACTTCCAAAAGCAGTTGTCCCAAATAAGGATGGAGCACTTGAGGCTGGTGTGGTTCCTAGTTGAGTGCCAAAAGGTGCCACTGCTAAATTAAAATATAGAAATAATATCACATCCGCATATAATACATTTTAAATTTAATTCACAGTGTTGTGTAGGGTAGTTGAATTATAAACATATTCATATCAAGACTTTTAACTATCTTTTACATTAACTTTGTATAGTATTAAAAGGATAGATCCAGACCTGTACTAGTTGCAGTAGATCCAAATGCACCAAATCCGGCCGAGGAAGTAGTAGTTCCAAAACCTCCGAATCCAGCAGTGCTTGTTGTCGCTGTATTAGTGCTACCGAAGGAAAACGCTGCTAAAATAGTCAAATAATTAGATTTACATTATGAAAATTGTAATACACGGCAATTAATAGAAATTAACATACGTTTAGCGGCACTTCCAAAAGGAGTATTTTGTTGTGCAGAATTTGAACCAAAACTAAACGACATTATGAGTGTTTCTCTTAGGGGGTTTCTTTTAAATGTTTATTGATATAATTATAACTTTAACAACGTCCCACATGTGTCGAATGCTTGTTTTATTTACTTTTAAACGTTGTTTTTGGTTGTTTTGATTGAAAAGGAAACGAACAACTGTCAAATGACATTTGAAATAAAATGACAGATATTGGAACAGAAGTCACAAAGTAAACTGATAATCTGTTGTTCGAGTAGATTAAAAATATTTAAAGCAAAATGATTTCCAAGTTTGATATTTTTACTCTGTAGCAACATGTGTTTTCTCTTTGATTTCCTCTAGAACCATAAAAATTGCATTGCATTCCACAAATAAAATTGAAAAGCCTGTCTTCTGAAATTGTAACCTCAGTGTTGAAACCGGTGATTTTAAAAGACAAAAATAACTATGTCGGATTGGGACACTGTTACAATTCTCCGAAAGAAACCACCCAAAGCGTCCGCACTTAAGACTGAACAAGCCGTAAACGCCGCACGTCGTCAAGGTTTACCAGTTGACACGCAACAAAAATATGGTGCAGGTACTAATAAACAGCATGGTACAACTAAAAATACCGCTAAACTTGATAGAGAAACCGAAGAATTACGACATGAAAAAATACCACTTGATTTAGGAAAACTGATAATGCAAGGAAGACAAGCAAAAGGTATGAGTCAAAAAGATTTAGCTACAAAAATTTGTGAGAAACCTCAAATTGTAAATGACTACGAAGCTGGCCGAGGAATTCCAAACAATTTGGTACTTGGAAAAATAGAAAGAGCGATTGGAATAAAACTTCGAGGAAAAGAACGAGGCCAACCACTACAGCCTCCTGGAGGAAAGAAATAACGGATTCCCTGGGAGGCGAAGACATTTCTCCGATTTGTTTATTGCATAATAATTATCTCATTTTGCCGTTGAATGTGTTCTCTACTACAAATAATTAGTAACATCATGTTAATATGATGTAAGCATTTATTTTTCTTGGGGTTCTGGAACGTTCTGCCTGTGATGTTACCACCTTGAAAAATGTAGGTAATGCTCCTTGGATATGGATGTGATATGCAATAAAGAAAGTTATTTATATATTAAAGTTCGTGTATAAATTTATCATCGTTAATGTGAAATTGTAATCGATCCTATATGTGAAATTAAAACAAAGTGTATAATGTCATATTCATGCAACTCATTGTTTGATTATTAAACATTGTGAAATACATTTTTATTTTTAACATTTACAACTACAGAGAACGTTAGCTTAAATTCGAGTCCTAATTCATAACAATATGATGGTATGTTATTCTGCAGTTTACATTTCATGATGACATTTTGATAGTCTAAGTTCGAAGTTATGATAACACACTGTCAACTAAGATAATGTTCATGTTTTTGTTATTTACTCCTTTCGCATATCCGAAGAAATTCCTACGATTTGTATCTAATAAAGATAGATAGAATAATACAAACTCTTTATATATATATATAGAATAAAGAGAAATAATGAAGTTGAATATAGGCATTTGGTATCTTGTTCACTAAGCGAAACGTAAGTGGTAGTCTTTACTTTACTTCACGTTATCCCATAAGTACTACATTTTAGTACCTTATAAACTGCTACTACGCCTTTACCCCTGTCAACTCTTAAGATTGAAAAGGTAAATAAAATAATGTTGAAATTATTGGCAGTTAGGTATAAAGATGCTGTAGCCCCTGATTGAAACCTCTGTTTACCTATTTTCGCCTTTCATTTCGTAACGAAGTAAAGATGTTATGGTATTTTTTTTTCTAAATCCATTTTACTACTTTTTATTGTGATTAATGATCTTGGTGACTGACCATGATTATGGATAATCATTTTTCGATGTTGAATTTTCACTTAAACATTTTATAATCTTTGTCATCCTCATCTTGTCAAACTCAAATATGTCCGATAATAAACATGTCATTGTCATTATAAAAATAAAAACATAATATCGAACTCATAAAACACATGTTTTTTTCGTTTTTTGTTGTAGTAATCTATTGTATTTAATATACATTATAACAAATTATTTTCTAGGTATAACTACTTGAATAATATGTTTTAACCTTGTTAAATATTTAAGGTTTAAAGTTTATAATGAATACGTCTGCTTCGGATTCAGAAGAAGAAATTTTAGTATATGCAGAGTTTAAAGATACAGTAAATATTGAAAAATATAAAAACATCCATGTCTTAGGTATAGATAGAAAAAATCCAGTTATACAACTGGACGATACATTTTTTACAGGTAAAAACTTTTATATAGCTAAAAACATTACATGACCTTCAGATTGTAAAGTATGTCTACGTATTAAAGAATCAAATTAAAAGAATTAAGTTAAATACAAGAGCCAATTTATTTTCAAAAAGTGCACCTTGTGGTGCTATTGATTAATCATGTTGTATTGTAGGAAATTTTGAGAATCCATTAGGAACATATTTATTTTTTGAAGAAGACCAAACACCACACTGTGATGATCCCTTGTTTGATAAACTACCTGAAAAAAAATTGAAATATTTATTCAAAACTACCAAGCTTCTATCTATGGAGCATGCATATGTCACACCAAAAGATGGTTCAGGTTAGGCAACTTTTTTTTTTTAAATTGCAAATACAAATATATTTCAAACAGTTACAACTTATCCACTAAATATTCTTTATTTTTTTAACAGACAACATAGAAAATAAAGTACAAGTGGTGAATGAGTCAGACAGTATAGAACCAGTTGCATTTGAAAATTTAGAAGAAGCTTTAGAGACATTTAAAAAAGATAAACAAGAATATGATGAGAGTGAATTAAAACCTGAAATCAATTCATAATAAAACTTTTACATGGCAAGTGTTTTATTGTAACAATTTTGATTATTAATGATTCACCAATACTCTTTTAGTGAAATTACAAACTTTACATTATTTTTATATTTTTCTGCATGATGTGCAAGTAAAAATGAGATGCAGTGTTAATCTTATTGATTATTTAGTAACTGTGAAAACACTAATTTTAATCTATGACTAGGGGAAAAACCGTTCATGTTGAAACTTACATGTATATAGCAATGTGGTTCTTCCCCTTGTTAATGTATAAAGGCACATTTCATACTCTACTATTCAGTTTTGCACAATTCTCTGTGAAGTTAACAAATGTTTTGTTATTATAACTTAATTTTTACCTTACTTCCATTATCGCAGAAAAATTGTGAATTATGGACTGTTGAAGTTACTGCACTTGGATAAAATTATAACTAGAAGAATAAAATATAATAGCTTATAATTTTTTGACAATTTTGGTCTCACTATGGGAAAAAGGTGATCAACCATCTATTTCTAAATATATTTTTTAACAATTGTAATTCTCTTTTTGGACACCGTTTCTCTTAATGTCAACTGATATAATAATGCAATGTTCTGTTTATGTAATTGTTCAATTGTTTACAGAGTGGATGCAGTACGAAGGAAATATAATACTGTTAAAATGGAAGAGGTATTTCAGGATCTGAATCGTCAGTTCATAAGACTGAAAGACAGAGATAAAAAGTGCAACAATCTTATATTACATTCAGTGTTAGAGGATATTATAAGTAGAATGCGTGCTTGTGATAACTTATTTGACAGTATGAATCCAAGACTTGACTATTTGGGTAGTTATTATGATGGTCTGCGTGTGGGGGAACCTAATGAATATGACATAAATGTTATATTGAGAATTCCGATTGATGAGAATAAAATAATTTTGGATGCAAGAGAATCGGAATGTGGCCATACTTGTGTCAGATTGCCCTCAGAGTTTAGACGGTTGGCTAAATCTCCGGTTACAGCAAGTAAAGGTTTTGAAAAGACTATAATGTGGTGCAATGCCAAATATCGTTTTTCCGTAACGAAATTTCGTTCATGGATTCAAAGTGTTGTTGATACAACTATAAATACTTTGCCCGTGAAAGATGGAAAACGATTTATAAAATTAAATAATAGTTGTTACTTTATTGAATCAAAGCGATCTGGACCAGCCAATACTATTAATATTATAAAATGCAATAATACAGTTATTGATGTTGACTTAGTACCAACTTTTGCATTTACATTACCAAAGAAACCAGTCAACTCATCAGTTTTGTTCACTAAAGTCAGTGCTACCAATATACAACAATATTTTGTTGTACCAAAACCAACGCAGAATGATTTCAGTTGGCGTTTAACATTTCCAATTCAAGAGCGACATCTAATTCGAGGTAAAAACAATTTAAAAAGCACAGTGAGAATCATTAAACATTTACGTGATGTTCAGGGTTTTAAAAAACTGTCTAGTTACTATATAAAAACTTTATTTCTGTGGGAAATTGTACCAGAAAATGAAATGATGTGGAAAAATAAATCATTGTCGTTTTTGGTAATCTATATGTTGAAAAAGCTTCGAGATTGTCTTATAAAAGGTGAGATAAAAAATTACTGGTGCCCTGAACACAATCTTATTGAGAAAATTAAAAAGAATACTTGCCAAAATTGGGGAAATAGATTAAATGTAATAGTAAATGCTTTAGAAAAAAGAGGAAAATGCAATGCTAGCATAGTTCTGGAGTATTTCACTAAGAATATTAAAAATTCTGCAGTACAACTGGTTCATGATAAACATAACCTGACCAAGAAAATAGAAAATATCCCAACATGAAGTCCCAGACTACTTTGTATATTAGTAAAGAGGCCTGACATGGCATTAAAAATGCACTGGAATAAATCAATGTTTTATTGTAAACTTGCTTTTGCTTCTTGATCTAACTTTTATTCAAGTGATTATAAGTTTAAACACCTGTTTATCAGAATGAAATTTTCTGGTCTAACGATCACATATATGCCTTTTATTTAATTTTATTTAAGTGTTTATATTGCAATCTATTTGGTATTAAACATGAATGTCTGATTGTTTTGCTTATTTTTTTCTTTGATTCTCCTGGGACTGTTTTGGGGAAAGTACATAGGTACATATGATCTGTCTGTTGCATATGTTTTATATGCACAAGGCAGGAATGCAACCTGCAATATATTGCCATAATGTGGAATGACAGTGGCGCCCGTATTTTCTTTATTATTTTGCCGGGTTGTAATTAATTTTGTATAAAATCTATAACATTGAATCGTAATGCAATTCTTACGAATTTAAAGGTAAAATGAATTTATCATCAAATAATTAATGAAAAAATATTTTAAACATTATTCACATCTAGCTCATTTTCTTACTTTACACTGGCAGCACTGATTTTTTCTTTCTGACAACATGGCAGCCTAGTAGTCCGCCATTTTCTTTGTATCGCCATTTCATTTATTTAGTGAGATGGAGAATTGAGGATTTCAAAGTGAGATAGAAAGATAATTTAAATTCTGATATGTTACATTCGCTTTCAAATTGGAAACATATTTTATAGAACTACTATAAGAGGTAGGATATACTTTAAAAAGAAACACATTGTTGTGTAGAATTGTCACACATTTCGGTTAACGTTGCATTTTGTCACTCAAATACAGAAATGAATATACAATGGCGTCTGTCGTTTACTTGAAGCGCGTCTATAGATAGTCCGTCATCCTTTTCTTACATATATCGACGCTATTCACAGAGACACTGCTTTCATCGAACGAATGATCTTTTACGAGCAGAGTAGACTGATAAGAAATATCCCCCGTTACCTTCGCACTTTATGTTTTGGAGTTTCTCTTTCGTGTGGACAATTAGCCGCGCTTTTAAATTTTCTTTGAACATGTTAAGATATTTCGTCGAAAATATCGCAATAGTGCCGCTATGTTAAAATATTGTACTTTTACGCTGTTTGATTTAGAGAAATCTTGCGATGAGATTATAACAGAAGATGTTCACGACGAATACTGTGCAAGCCGGTAGTGTTCCGACCCTTCAGTATCAAGAGCATCCAACTCAGAAATCACAAGGCAAAAATATGGAAAACGTACAACAAAAGAATCCACAACAGACCCAGCAGACCCAACAGGTAACTTGTTTTTAAACTATTCTAAGCTGAGCAAATAGAAGTATGCAGCATAAACTGATGTTTTCTTTACTTCCTACTGCACTTTTCAATAACATCTTTATTGCTGAAAAGTTTGTTTTTTTTTTAATTTACTGTAATCAATTAATTTAGTCTTGTGGACAAAGGACATTACAACTATGGAAAAGTTATATTTGTTTATAGTAAACATTAATAGCAAATAAATTATTAGAAAACAAATTATTTCCTACTTGAATTACCATTATTATATTCATACTTCAATAACATTATTTTCAGGAGTTTCCCACATTTTGTTACACAACCAATGTAAATATGATAGGAAAAATTGGTACTGGTACCACAACAGGTGCTGGTGGAGTGAACATAGCGCAATTAACAACAAGTGATGACAAGACTTGTTATATAGCTCAGCCATTCTCCTACAATTATGCCTTAGTTAACCAGATGCAAATCGCACCAAATGGAATACAGAATACAATATCAAACATTAGCTTTAAATGTGATGTGTGCGGTCTGATGTTTGGACATTTGACTCTACTTAATGCTCATAAAAGAATACATGCACAGGACACAGGTGAGACATCTATAAAAATCATTAAATTAATATAAATAATATTAAAACAACACTGTATGTGGCAATTGTTTTGGAACACTAATAAAAGTAGATATGAAGAACTGTATTAAAATAAAACTTATTTATGCTGATATGTCAGAAAAAATGACTTTTGTGATCAGACACAAATTATGACAACCCCATTGCCTGTTGCATCAATGTAATTTGTTAGATTAAGCAAATTTAACTACTCATGTAACTATGACTAGTATGTAGTGATTTATAATGAAAATAAGTTCTACACAATACAATAAGATAATAAGTTCTACACTATCAACTCTTTAAGATATACTTGAAAGCTTTTTAATATATGGGGTGAATACATTGGAAAAAAGTATCTGAAAAAAGGTAAAAACTACAAGCAAATTGCATAGAATTAATTGGTGATTGTTAGCCAAAGGTATATGTGCCTTTGCTGTCACTCAAGTATTTAAATTTTGACATTTGCAATTGAAAGTTTTACAAAGGTATCCAATACAAATGGATACAGCTGCATGAAAACATCTAATTGAAATTATAAATGTTACCATTCTTGTGTTTCAGATAACAATATAACTGTGGTGGCGACAGGTGTCAGTACGGCCAATGAAGTGACAATGCCACCTCATATACAAATTATTTCTTCCGACCCAACCGATCAGACACAACATCAAGTACATATACAAGAGAGTTAGTATGTTTACATTGTTTAATTATATACAAACAAGCTGTCACTCGCAAACTCTGTTAGTGCAAATTTGGACCATCCATAATGCCATTTTGACTGCAGAATTTAAAAAAAAGAAGCCTATAATGTGCCTATCTAAGTCAGCTTCCCTTCAGTGAAAGTCCCGTAAAATCGGCCCAGCCGTTTCGGAGATTACCCGGAACAAAGGTGGTTTGCTGACAGACAGACAATTTTTAGTCTGGGATTTTCGTTATCAGCAACACAAATCCATCATCTTCCCGAAATCTGGAATTTTTCTTTTGATATTAGAGACAGACACTCCATTTTTATAATATGCAATGATAATGAGGAATTATATAAAACAATTTTACCTTTATCACAGACTTATTGAAGACATTTGTGTCATCAATTCATTGAAATATTTTGAAATAATCCATAGACAATTTATATGTAACATATTTATCTTTTTCAGCAAAACCTGTAGTAATAGATAAGGTCCAGAAGTGTATAACATGTGGAGGTCCAATAAATAACAATCCCAAAAGAAAAGGTCCGAAGCTTATAAGATGCGAAAATTGCATTGCACAGGATTCTGTTGATCAACAGAGAAATAGTCAATGTAAGTTTTGTTATTCTAGACTAGTTATTCTAGACTTCAAGCCTGCAATTACATAAACTAACTTGCCTACGATTTTTTCTGTACAGAACTAAAAAAACTTGATTAATAGCATATCTGTGACACATTTTTTCAAGATCCATTATTAAATTTTGGGCAAATCTACCATCCACACATTTAACAATTTGAATTTATCATGTAATTAAGACTGTCATCCTTATAGATTTTTCAAAAGGCTCATTTTAGTAGCTTATTTAATTAACTAAATGTTGCTAATTACAGTTTACTTCCTTGAACACTGTAAATGATTCCTAATGAATAATAAACCAGTTTATAAATTACTTAAGAGTTTTTCAGGAATTAACAAAATTGTCTACTATTTTATTGCAATAAAATTTAAATATTTTGAACTAAATTAGTTATGTTAAATTACATTATTAACACAGTATTTAACATTGTTAGTGAATTCAACACAACTGTTGGTGACATCCGATGAGAATGTTAAGTTTGAAGTGAGCGGTGTGACCTCGGTGCAGGGTGCAGACCCACTCGACACCGCGCAAACCAACCATCAGACACAGCCGCAGAAACCTTGTGAGTATGAAAAACAAGTTAAAACATCCCTTAAAAGCAACATCTGCTAATGTTTCATAGTTTACTATTATTTTCCTTTAATTGTGAGGTTTAATTGCTAAAAATACTTTAGAAAAACTTACTTTTATATATGTTTTTTACGAAAAGAATAATGTATGAAGTCCATAGAGAGAAAAAGACAATGTCCTAAAGAACATAATATCGATTAGTAGATATATGAGGAGTCCAAATTAGAAGAAGTTCAACTAGGCAAGCTGCAATACCTACGACACTAATTTTGACTCCGTTCTCTTCCCGCACTTTTAAGTTAAGAATGGGAAAGTGGACTTGACATCACAGGTGGGTAAATTTAGGAAAAGGAGATATCCTTCCTCCATGGGTTACAGATAGCCAACGCATCTCCTTTTTCTCTATTTCGGCGAATTCAGCGTGGAATAACTTTCCGGCAAATAATAATTCCATTACTTATAATTGTTAAAAAAACTCTTATAATAATATAACGTTTACTAGTGCCTGGACATCATCCTGTGAAGAAAAGAACACTAGCATCAGTGACGAAATGTCAGAACTGTAACGGTTCAGGTATAATATTCATAGGAGGTAATAAGAATAAGCACAGTCAAGCGGATATGGACAAACGTTTCCATTGCAATATATGCGGAGGTTCCTTCTCGAGGTACTCCTCTCTCTGGTCGCACAAGAAGTTACATTCCGGAGAGAAGAATTTCAAATGTGGCATCTGTGGGATAGCATTTGCTAAAGCAGTCTATCTAAAGAATCATTCAAGGATACATACAGGAGAAAAACCTTATAGGTTAGTGTAAATTATCTTTTTATGTTTATTGCCTTAGATCAGAGGTGGACAACATTTTCATAGGTGTACCTAAAATATGACATTAATGTGCCAGCGGTTTGACACCCCTGGCTTAGAATTTGCTCTAAGATGTCCTACTGCGTTTGTAGTCAATGTTTACTAAATCAGTTCCTAATTGTAGATTTTTCTTATTAAATGTGCACTAAAGGATGTCCTAAATGGTCATTGTATCTATGATTTAAAAATTTCAGTTATTGTGTTGTTTATTTGATATTTTAATGTATTGTATTTATTTTAGATGTAGTACATGCGGTATGCAGTTCTCTCAATCGCCGCATTTGAAAAATCATGAAAGAACACATTCAGGAGAAAAACCATATGTTTGTGAGGTAAGGTGTAGAATAATTTACCATCATATTACTTTATTTTCGGAATATTCAAGGGGTTTATGTCTTGAAAGAAATAAGTACAATAAGTAATTAATATATTAAAGTTTATTTGTCGGTAAAAAACTAAAAATAAATTGCATGCACAGAATTTAAAAGATTCTCATGTTACAATCCATACCTTTAACATAGTTATGTTTATTTTTAGTAGCTTTCGCCCGCGATTCCGTCCGCGTGGAATTAAAAAAAAAAACAAAAGTGAATAGTCTATGTATTCTTTCAGACTATTCTGTACATATATACCAAATTTCATCGAAATCCGTTTAGCCGTTTAAGCTAAAAACTATAATATAACAAACATCCTTCCATCTAAACTTTCATATTTATAATATTAGTATGATGTAGTTGATTAAATAAATTAAAAAATAATGTGTAGTCTATTTTTTTGATATATTTGAATATAAATGTTTTATTATGTGCAGGTGTGTGACAAAGGGTTCGCGAGACACGCTACACTGTGGAATCACCGCCGCATCCACACCGGCGAGAAACCTTACAAGTAAGCATTTCATTGATTTCACCTTAATCTTACACACTACATTACATCTTTATACAAAAGGTTTCCCTACTTTTTAAATAAATAAAAAAAATGGCTTGATTTTACTATTTGCTTATTTACTCATCTATACACATTTTTGGCAACTTATGTATTTTAAAACATTTGAACTGAAACTAAAAGAGTGTCTTTTTTGCTACAATTTTAAATTTTTGTTCCTAGCAGTTTTTTGTTTGAAAATTTTAGGAAATAAACTTGTGGCCATCTTATATTTGTGGTCACATCCTTAAAATGCCGATATATTTCCTCTTCATGCTTCAGATCGCCACCGGCTTATCTAGCTACTATTAATGGTTTTATTTATAGTAATGTGGATTTGACATTTTTTGATTACAGGGGTAGTTGGTATCTCCCCGCCTTAGTCTCTTTGGCGAAGACCAATTCAGACCTACAAATGTGATATTGCATGCGTTAATGTATGAATCTTACTTCTTACTAATATTATAAATGCGAAAGTTTAGATGGATGGATGGATTTTTGTTAGAGTTTGTAGCCTGAACGGCTTAACAGATTTCTATGAAATTTGGCATAGATGTAGAACAAAGTCTGGAATAACACATAGACTACCCACTTTTGTTTTTTTTTTAATTTCACGCGGACGGAGTCACGGGCTAAAGCTTATGGAATATTTTCTTAACACAGATGTGACACGTGCGGCTCCGCGTTCAGCCAGGCGGCGCACCTGAAGAACCACGCGAAGGTGCACTCCGGAGAGAAGCCCTTCAAGTGCGACATCTGCACCGCCGCCTTCGCAGACAGGTTCGCGCTCAAGAGGCACCGCGGCATACACGATAAATATGGTGAGTTTAAAACGACTACGCGGACGGAGTCGCAGGCGAAACATTGTCATTTTAATTTCAAATAAAATATGTTCCATTTGTTAACCATCAGGTGTGTGTAACACAATGTTTTTTACAGGTCAAACGACTCCGTTGCCTTCTCGAGTGCAGTTGAACCAGCAGGAGCAGGGCAGCCAGCAGACCGGCGAGTCGCAGAGCATGCAACCCGTCGTAGAGATAGAAATCCGCCCAGACCAAACACTTTGAGCTCAGCACACTACACACACAATAATAAACCCTTCACTATGGGTTGTCACTGCGTTAACATTTATATTAACACATGTCTCTCATATTCTATTTGAAAAAAGAGATGCGATATGTGTCAAATGTGGCAGTTGATATTCATAGTAAGGACCTTCGTACACTAGGTGATGTCAATTTTCCAAACCTGGCGATTTTAGTCGCTAACCTACTCATATCAGGTGATATAAGTCGCTGCAATTTTCAAGATAGTGCAGCTACATTATACAATTGACACACTTTCTATCTTTGTACAACTAACTTCTGTAAATGGACAGGATTTAAGATATGGTATTTTGAGACTATCCTGTATTTACCTTTTTGGCGCTGTTTCTGTCAGTAACTGAGCAGTTGGCTTTTCAGCTCTTATTGTTGTAGTACATCATACTGAACTGTTAGCTGCTAATTTAGTTGTGCTGCGGCTTAACAGTTTGAACCTGTTTAGAGTGACGATTTTATTTTTTTACTGCGACGCAACGAAAGGTTTTTAAGATATATGTTACGTTGTGTACGAAGGGGCTAATAGTGTTATATGGTCAAATGTAAATAGAAATTGTTAAAGGGTACATGTTACTTAATTTGTAATTAAAATGTGCACGGTGCAGTTGGTACTGTCGTTAAGTGTGAGTTGATATTACAGACAGCGGGTTTTTAAAATGTCTATAGTGTTCAATAGACAATAGTTGATTTAATGCAACGAAAATTTTTCATGGATGTGACAACAGCAATATGAAGTGAAAAAGAATGATAAAATTATTTACGCATAAAAAAAGAGCAATAAATTGTTTATCCCTACTTGAGCGGGTATATATTGCTATAAATTAGAGAGTAACGGTTTATCAGGTTTGTGTTCATTAAAAATTTATATTTTAAAAAGTTGACTTATGTTAATATCTGGAGTGTGCACTTGTATTTTATCATGGCAATTTAACTCAAAATTGAATGTTGGGTTCAACAATTTTATCAATAAATCAAGTTTTAACTTAAGACATTAAAAACTGTTGTAATTAATTTTATAATTGTAACATTGTTAGCTAGCACCATAAAGAATGGGTTAATTTCAGTGTCTATTTATATCGAGATCATTGGCTGTGGAATAAGCGACATATAGTATTTTTATATTATGCGGATTTAATAGCAAATTTTGTTGTAAATTTGTCTCTCACACTTGTAAATAAAATTAATTTTGCCGTGACACTAGAAGTCTATATGTGATTTAGTTTAGCATATCTTATGAATAAAGGTATTTTATTTATAATGGATGGGTTGATTTTGCTAAATATTGTATTTCCTTTTATTTCTATTGATTGTGTACATTATTTTATATATTATTTTTAAACAACTTAATATACATAGGTTATGTAAAGAATATATTTAGTGAGCACAACTCATCCAAATATAAAAATGCTGCATCAAAATGATGCCTTTTGTAAGCTAGAACATAAGATTTTTAAATATGAAATTATATAATAGTAAAAAGTGTTGTAAGATTGTTGTGTTTTATTTATATTCAATTGATTAAAGTTCAAAGTGTTTGAACCTGTTTATCTCAGTAGAAGACTACCTATGTAAACAAATATAGAACTATTACCAAGAATATAGTCTAAATATACCCCCACAATACTCTAAATATAGAAAACACTATATAGATGTTACTGCACAGTTGTTCGATTTGTTATGGAATTGCTATTTGTTTTTTAACTTTAGTTATAACTAGTCTATAATAAGCTTTGTGTATTTTTTTTTCATAATCAATATTTTCTTTTGGTTCAGAAAGTTTAAGTAATTATAATAAAAAGAGGTATAAACCTTGTATATAATTTAGGAAAGGAAAAAAAATCAATTTGAGTAAATTTAGGCTTTATTCTTTATCACAATTAAATAAACACATATATGGAGTATATAACATATTGGAATAATTTACTCGTAGACCCAGTTCTCGGCAGCCGGAGTCCATCCAACGAGTTCCTTTTCAGTAAACCATAAACCGATTTCTTTGTTAGCAGAGTCAACGCTGTCGGAACCGTGAATTATATTGCGACCGACTTCGATGCAAAGATCGCCACGGATGGTACCAGGTTGCGAGTCAGCTGGGTTCGTTGCACCCAACATTTGACGACCGGTTTTCACCACATTAAGTCCCTCCCATACCATCGGGACTACTGGTCCGGAACTCATATACTTCACTAGACCAGGGAAGAAGGGCCTGGAAGATAAGTCGCTGTAGTGGTTCTGTAGAAGTTCTTCAGATGGCCATACGAATTTCAAGGCGACCAGCTTGAATCCTTTTTTCTCGAAGCGTTTGATGATTGTGCCGACGAGCCCGCGTTGGACACCGTCGGGTTTTACCATAATAAAGGTTCTTTCACGTGGCTCAGCCATATTTTAATTTCGTTTGAAGGTTAGGCGATCGAATTAAAAAAATGCTGCAGTGCCGGTGCGCGCGGCGTGTCGCTGTCCAAGTCACAGACAAAGAGACGGAAAGAGACAATAGAGGAGAGGAGGAAACGAATCGATGAAGGGCAAACTAGGGATGTACATAGAATGTCTATGATCATTAAAATTATTCGAGCGAATTTCAATATCGTCTATAATTAAGTTTAAATTAATTGACAATTTTTCTATATCTCAAATAAAGAGAAATTATACGCTATGAATACTATACAATAAGTGTTTTGCTTAGCATTAAGGTTTTGGTGAACAGTATGACTATAACATATAGCTTTTAATAAATAAATAAACAATTAGATTTTGGGACACAAGTTATTCGTAAAAAATGTATAACACTGTTTTCTTTACTCGTACTTAACGATCATAGGTCTAAACCTATGATCGTTACTGATACCGGGTAAGCATGGGATGGAAAGAGAAATCTGTATTAACACAATTCCTCCTGGTAGTACATGGGGCATCGCAGACTAGCTAGAATCGGGACCAACCTAAACAATGTTGGAATAGCAATTCTATTTTTGCTTATGTTTAATAGTAGACATTAGTTGTGAAATTAGATTTCGACTTGTTATCGATACGAAAAAATTCTTCCTGTTTACAAGAATTTTTTAGTTAGTAGAAAGCATCACTGACGAATACTGCGATTCAGATTTATACCAGCCACCGAATGAATCGATCAATCCTTATCGCAATTAGAAACAATGTTTTACGAGCGCTTGTTCATTATGATTTCCGTAAACAATGAGACAATATTATTTTTTTCCCTGACTGCGACTTCTATCCATGAAATTAAATTCGTTAGCAGAATAGTTCGATCAAATCTTTCGGAAGTGCACAATGCTATCATGTTTCGATTACACAATCCAAATTGTTTTGTATACGGTAAGTTGAGGTGAACCAAAAATTTTATTTTAAGACTATTTTAGTTTCTTCAATTTTTAATTCAATTAATTAAAACAAGAAAGCATATTACTGTCGTTTTATCCATACACTCGATCATCTCACTAAAGCTAAAGATCACTCAGCTAAAACATTGATGTGAATTACTATAATTATTTAAAGCGACTTTTTAGATACATGCTGCAAATTCCTTGTCCATATTGAACAGTCCTGGGTATGTGATAGAAAATAGTGGATCAGAAGGTGAGGTGACAAGTCTTTTGTCATCAAAATCTTATGTACCCAAGGATCGGGACTTGCCAAAGACGCTCGTAAAGAACATTGGTAAGGAATATGACAAAAAACTATCTTTTTATTTTGCTTATCTCCTAAATCTCATAGAATCCTTTCGATAGCTTCCCATTCTTGAGATTAGCACAATTAGAATTATCTAGCTATATTAAGTGTTTATAAGAACTAAAACGTTTTCGCTTAATTTATTTTAGAAAATGACGGAACCTACATTCTATCCAAGTTATCGGATGAACAGTTAATAAAATTGTTAAGCGAACAGCCAACAAAAAATGAATATTATTTGAGCGATCTCATCAAATTAGCCGTTGGTAATACAGCCAAAGAGGAAAAAATGATTCCTGACATGGGCAAAAGTAAAGTACACGATATATTGAACAACGGTTTTGAAACGCAACCTAACTTTAAAAACCGATTTCGGACAATAGAAAAGCCAACAATTGGTAAAGGCCAGTCTGCTTATTTTCGACTAGAAAATAAAGAAGTTGATCCATATCATGTAAAGAACGACGCTGACTACGCCGCTTTCCAGAAAATAAACAACTTGCTATATAGCAGACCTCAAGTTGATGAATTGAGTGAAGAAGACGAAGAGAAAAAAGAATTACTTTTCGATGTTTTAGTGGCACAATTAAAATCTCTATGTTGTAAAAAATCTAAGAAAAAAAGAAAAAGTAAGAAGCAATACTTAAACCAATTTTTACCACGAGCACCTATGTCAAAAATTTACGCAGAAGATTTAAAACCACCCCAGTTACTAAATGAATACATGTTCTTAATAATGAACGAAGAAGTTCGGGGTAATGGTAGTGATGAACTAATATCGGTGGATCCTGAAAGCCTAGAGAAAAATAGTAGTGTTTTGTTATTAGGTCCTATTACAACGCCTTTATCCGATAATCAGTTAAAGACAGTTGTAAGTATTACTTTAAAAAAAAGTAAAGGCATTATTTGCTGTATGAACAAAGTTAAGAATTGTTTTATTTTTGCAGATGACGAGAATTTCTAATGAACTATCGAAGCAAGAATATGTTCCCCTTCTACAGCAACTGGCGGAGGGTTCAGTCAGCAGTGGACATTTAAACGTATTGAAAAACGTTATGCACAGTCCTCAAACCAGGCGTTACATAAAACCCCATAGATGTAATCATCAGTCTAAACTTGCAAAAGTATATGGGGGCCCAAAATGGATTATTTGTACCGGTTATTTGAACATTAATACACCAAGTTTATACGATTAGAACAATTTATGAAAACGTGTTGTTTTTAAAGTTTTTTAGCTTTAAACAGATCTTAACTTCAAAAGCGAAGTTCCCAAAAAGCCATTGCGATGGAGACTAATTTTTGAACTGAAGAGTTTTATTCTACTCTGACATTGAATAACAAGATTAGCCCGAATTGTAAAATTTTGTAGCCTAATCGCGGTAATGAATTTAAAACACTATGTCGGTACTTGTAATAGGTTTGGCCAAAAGCTTACTATCTATTGCCAATTAATTTAGTTTTGAAAATTGTCATTTTGATAAATGTATGACAGTGACAATACTATGTAAACAAAACAAACATCAATTTAAATATTTTGTTGTGTTATTCACAATTACTGTAATACTGCAATAAAATAATAGAAGATTTAGTATGTAAAAACGATTAAAACTACACGAAGCTGCATTTTTATCCTCCTAAGAACTGAAGCCAAATTTCCTATGACACAATTTTTAATATAACATTCTAGTAATTCTTCTAGAACTATACTAATATGCCACGATCAGTATGTTCTCAAGATGAAATCGTTAGATGCGGTTGGGTGACAAAAGACCCACTATACATAAAGTACCATGACACTGAATGGGGTGAACCAGTATACGATAATTATCAACTTTTCGAAATGTTATGTTTAGAGGGGCAGCAAGCTGGCTTGTCTTGGATAACGATATTGAAAAAAAGAGAAAAATATAAGCAATCATTTCATAATTTCAATCCTAATAAGATTTCAAAAATGTCTGAGACAGCTGTACTACAATTATTAAATGACCCAGGAGTTGTTAGACACAAAGGAAAATTAATAGCTATTAAACACAATTCTGTTTGTTACCAGACTATGGAAAATAATGGAGAAGATTTCTCTAATTTTATATGGAGTTTTGTTGGACACAAGCCTATTATTAACAATTGGGAAAATGTAAAAGATGTTCCTACCGAAACAGATATATCTATAGCTCTTTCTAAAGCACTTAAAAAAAGAGGATTTAAATTTGTGGGATCTACTATTTGTTATGCTTTTATGCAGGCTTGTGGTCTTGTGAATGATCATATTCTTTGTTGTTATTGTCGGAATAGAGAAAAGGATTAAGTTATCATTCATTGTTTTTTTACTTGTTTAAACCTGATGGTAATATAACTTAACATCTACAATATGCTAAGACTTATGTCTGGAATTCTGAAGAGTATCATATTTCTAAATAATACATCTTTTGTAATTGTTGTTGAATAAATAATGATTATTTGACTATATGTCTGTATGCCTTTTATTTTTACATAATCTCCAGTTTGCCTGAATCGATTTCTGGTAAGTCATAAAGGTATGTCTTTAGCAGAACATCAGGCAGGGAAGTACAATCCAGTTCAGGAGAATTAACTCCATTTTCCAGTCGAGTTAATAAATTGCAAAAAAATGTCTTGTTAAAAATTAATATAAGTTGTCCGCCATGGAGTATTGCTAATTTAGTGTGTGTAATTTAGATTTTGTGAGTTTGTACAATTTGATTATCTGTCGAGACAGCTGGCGTATAATTTTTTAATCTTTAATATTTTGTTTACTCTACTACTTTGTATATTCTATATCCTCCTGCAAAATTGTCAATGTCAGTTTAATTTCGTTTTAATTTTGAACTGACCTTTATAATTTAAAATATTGCAGTTGTATGATTTAAGTGTTTTGGCCAAATAAACTAAGAAATCCTTGATTAATTGATAATAATATAAATAAAATGAATATACCCTTCCCTGTTTTAATGCCGCGCCTCATAGATTCTAAGTGGTTTAACGCCGATAGTCCTTGCGACGAAGACGCGGAATTAACAAGTTTAGAACAAGCGAATCAACATTGGGTAAGATTTTTTAGATAGCTAAATATTCCAACATACAAGGCACATAGATCGTGATTAATTCTGAATATCGACTTTACGGAAATTTAATATTACAGTTGAATTCTATTGGACAACAGTATATGAAAAGAGCGCCCTTAGGAAAAACAGAACCTGAGGCAATGGATGAAGAAGCGGATACCGATGAAGAAGAAGGTATCTAAAAGTTATTTACCATTTATATGATAATAATAACGACAACAAATATCAATTTGTAGGTTTTTCAATATTAATTTACATTTAAATTAAACTGTGTAATGAATTTGGTTTAGGAAATGACGAAACAGATGAATCTGAGGACTCACATGATGAAGACGAGGAAGAAGAATTACAGACAACCTATTCCCCACCGAGAAATAATAATGAATTGGAACCGGACTTAGATGTAAATGAAGCATCAGAGACCAACACATCAGATCAAAGTGCGATGTGGCCAATACAGTAGCGTAAGAATAAATTATACAAATAAAACAAGTACTGAAGAAACTATGCAATCCCAATTATTATACATTTCTTGATGTGATTATTATTTAATGAAATATTACTTATTATAAATGTTAAGAGTGTATCATCAGTGGTTTTAAGGTTGTGAGTGATTTTAGTAACAAAAATAATAGTTTGTATTGTGTTTCTTAATTTTTTCTTTTTTGTTTTAGGAATCCTCTCTTTACATCAAGATAGTTAAAATATGCATAAATGAAGAAATTTCGATACAATCACCCAGTGCACTGATTACAGAAATATTAAGTTATTAATTGATTTGTTATATCAGTTCTTACAGTTAATAATAGAGATGGAATTAACTCTCTAAAAACTTAAATTGGTGTGTTCAAGTTGTAATAAAGGACAAGGTGTTGCAATAAGCTATAATACAAACAATAAGCTATTCATTTATTTAGATTATAGACAAACACTGCTATTACAAACACAGTAATAGTGTTTCCTAAATGATGTGTGGAACATCAGATTTTTTTAGAACCATTTAATTTAAAATAAGCAAAATTGCCATTGATATATGATAACTAGCTATAGTCAAAGCTTTTATGCAATAGTCTATGCCTAGAAATCTAAAATAAATTTATTATAAAGAGACTCAGCAGTTTTAATCAAACAGACTTGTAATTTGTATGCAGCAAATCTTTGTACATATATTAATATTTTAAATTGATTAAATCCCTTAAAGATGTAATAAAAGTGTTAAAACCCATGCTATGACTCGAACAACAAAATTAATAAGAGTAAAATAATGGTAGAAAAAAAATAAGTGTAACTTAATTTTTTAATCTGACTGATTATAACAAAATTGTCTAATTTTATGATAAACAAAATGTAATACTTGCAGATTAAATACTAATCTTTAAAACTAAAACATGTGAAATAGGACAAAAGAAACTAACAAACATATATTTTATGATAAAAAAAATTATACAATTAACTTATTAATGGTATGAAACTTTTTAAAAATACTTGTCATCACAGAGATATAAAATCACCAGGCTAAGGCAATAATTACATTGTTTATGAACATTCAGTCTCATTTGAACATTTTCATTTTCAAGTAAATGATATAAATTAACAATGCAATAAACTCGTCACAAATGATGCAAAGCCAAACTAGTATTCTTTTTCCAAAAGTACATAAAAAGAAACAACTTGACTATGATCAAATTCAATGGATATGAGGATTTGTCTCCGATTTGGGATACCAAACCTATCAACAATTTTATTTTACAAAGGTATGGTCACAGATAAGTCTGTATCGTCGTATTTAAACACTGAACTATTCCAAAATAAATCCTTAGACAAGAAATATCAGTGATTTGAAAACATTTTCTAATTTCCATTGAATTTTACCAAAACCTACCGTTTTTCCCTAACATGTTATTATTGATTTCATAATTTGTTACATATAGTATAAAAAGAGGTGACAATAATTAGTATATATTTAAAGAGATTACAGTGATCGATGGAATTTCAGCAATTTTTATATTAATTTACTTAAGTTACTATCCATTAAATATTTTTTTTTATTGTATTTGATTTTATATGTCTCTAGTTTATTAATTCTTTGTATGGATATTTTTCAAAATACGATTTTGGAGTACATTACGAAATACCAAGTGCAATTTCAACTCTGTTTAAATTACATTAGTAACATCAATAACAACATTTACAATTCTAGTCAACAAAGGAACAATATTGTCTGCGGGGATGATAGTCCATTTCTTAGCCAAGCATTTTTCAACACTTGAATGTGTTATTTTACGATCTGAAACATCACAAATTTTTAAAACATATAAAAAAAACAAAAGCATTTTTCGTACTACTTTAATCCTACATGCTAAAAACTGCATATTAAAAACATACAAAAAATATTTTAAGGTAGATCACCACTAGAGTCCCTAATTGTACTTCAACATGTTAGAGGTTGATTGAACACTTCTGTGTCAACCTTTCTTTAAAGTAAGAGTAGTATGGAAATCTTTATGTTTGTGTACAAGTTTTAACAGAAAACCCACAGTTCATTTATTAACATTCTCACCTGAGCATCTTGCTATATCAAGAGTGAAAAATATAGCACTTTTCTTGACTAAAGGATTAAATTCGTCACAATAATAATGGAATGCCATCGCGAGAGACGACGGCACTTTATCAAGGTCTGTAACTAACATCACTCCAGACTTTGTAACATCATTTCGATATCTTTCCATAAGTTCACTATGAACTTTCATTTTAAGTTTGGTGCTATCCACAATTACTTGGTTTTGAATTTCGCTGTCATTGCCTAAAAAAAAACATGTAAGATTAAGTTTTACGTTTTTAAAATACATTGAACAATATATTTTGGTCTGGACTCTAATCATCAGTATTAATCATATTAATAATAAATGAGAAAGTTTAGATGGATGGATGGATGTCTGTAGACTAAACCCCTGAATAGACCTGGACGAAATTTGGCATAGATGTAGGGCATAGTCTGGAAGAACACATACCCTATTTAATTTTGTTGTTTTTAATTACATGAGGTTGGAGACGCAGGCAAAAGTTACTAATGTTATAATAGTGAATGTTTAGATGGATATTTGTTAGAAGATATCTCTGGATGGGTTTAATGGATCTCGAAATTAAGCACAAATGTAGAACACAGTCTGGGTGAACGTTATGAATGTTACTTACGTAGAAACCTAGATGCAGTGAAGGCAACATCATTCATAAATTGTTTAAAATTTATTGGATCGAACTTATAATTAGCACTGTTATAAGTAAATATAAGTGAGGCTGCATCTTTTTTATGAAATGTTGTGGAAATAACTGAAAAAAATGAACATATAATTATTGTTACTTTTGTATTATTGAAACCTTTTAACATTAAAATCAATGTTTTTACCTGATTTGATCTGCAATATTGAATTGTAGTTGACATTGTACTTTTTACCTAAATTACCTACATCACTATAAAATTTACTTTCATCATATATTATTTGATTTTGATTACTATTAGTGAAGAAAAATTGGATGGAATAACAAGCAAATACAATTGCAAGGCCAGCTAATAAAACTACATTAAAACCTAAATAATTTGTGGACTTTTTCGCATCAATAGTTGCTTTCTCTAAAGAATCTTCTTTGTTTGAGCTATATGAAATTCTGAAATAAAATACATTAAGAGTTAAATGAGACACTAAATGGTAAATGACCAATACTGCAGTCCAGGAAACCAAAAAAACAAAACCTATTAAAATCTTAGCAATATATGATTTATGTATATGACACCAGGTAAAGATTTAGATCTAGGGAGTGGGGATAGATACAATATATGGCGTTATTCATAGTAGTTTTATATATATATATTAATATATATATATA